ACTTCGGGACAACTCCACCATGGGCTACATGATGGCCAAAAAGCACCTGGAGATCAACCCTGACCACCCTATTGTGGAGATGCTGCAGCAGAGGGCTGAGGCAGACAAGAATGACAAGGCAGTCAAGGACCTTGTGGTGCTGCTGTTTGAAAACTCCCTGCTCTCTTCTGGCTTTTCCCTTGAGAATCCCCAAACCCACTCCAACTGCATCTACTGCATGATCAAGCTAGGTCTACGTATCGATGAAGATGAAGTGGCAGCAGAGGAACCCAGTGCTGCAGTTCCTGATGAGATCCCCCCTCTTGAGGATGATGAGGATGCGTCTCGCATGGAAGAAGTAGATTAGGGGTTCGTAGTTGGAAAACTGCCCTTGTATAGTGTCCCCATGGCTCCCACTGCAGCCTCGAGTGCCCCTGTCCCACCTGGCTCCCTACGCTGATGTCTGGTATTTTTTTTCTCTCCTGTCCTTCTGTTGAAGGCAGGAAACAAGGGTGTCAAGCCCCCATTCTTTCCCTACTCTGACAGCAGGATTGGATGTTGTGTATTGTGGGGCTTTTTTTGTTTGTCTGTTCATTTTGTTCTGAAATTAAAGTATGCAAAATAAAAAAATAAATTTTTATTAAAATTTTTTTAAATCTGAAATTATATTTTATTAATGGAAAATATCATCAAAATAGTACCACTATGGACTAAACTGCCTGAGTTTTCATTTCACATTGAGATCTCAGAGTAGAAAAGCCTTTAGCACAATTTTGCTCTGTGTAAGTCACAACGAGTGCCGGCCCTGGGACTAAACCAGGGGGAAGATTCTCCTCTTGGATGGAATCTGTGCTGTTCTGTCAAGACTTTTGTGCTAATCTTTCAAACAGGGACATGTTGAGGCAAAATGTTAATCTTTTGGCACAAGATTATTTTGGCTGGGGCAGAAAATTTGAGTCTCGGACTCAGGATGAATAATGTGACATTTCATTGATCAAGTATTGATTTTGATTGTAGAGCTTTCTTTTTGTCATTTACTTCCATCTGCAACCGAAGCCAGATTTTCTTCTCTTCATCCAACTCAGACAATAACTGTTTAATCTCTCGTTTCTGCTGGTCCTTCATGTTCTCGATGATGCTCTTCCCCTCTCGGACCTGTGTCCTTAGCTCATCCACTGCCGCCTGGCTGCTGGCCACAGGCTCCATCTTTGGTTTTCCTTCCGTGTGGAACAGAGACGGAGAGTTGGCTCTGTGTCCAGCTGTTCCCAAACAGGATGACAATGGGGAGGAGGCAACCAAGGACAGAGAGGCTGGCCCACCACTAGCTGCTGCCACTGTCCCCGGCTTGGGCAGCAGGGATGCTTTGTTTTTGGACACTTGGGATATGGTAACAGACTTGGAAGTTTTCTTTGGCGCATCCACTCCTCTGTGAGCAAGAGAAATGTGTTCCTTCTTATCCTCTTTGGGACTTGGGGAGTCGAAGATATCAGGGCTTGACAGGGATGAAGATGTGAGGGACTGGGATGGTGGCCGCCTCCCCGTAGCTTTTGGTCTGCTTGTGGTCGGATGACTGAGTTTCTCAGTATGACACCATGGAGTCAAAACCTTCTAGGTCAATGTCATTGCTGCGGTCTGAGAGATCTTTGTCCAAGATGCCAAGAAGCGAACTGCCCACCAAGTCAGTCTTCAGACCATCACCCCTGGTGTGTGTCAGCGGACCCACTGGTAGCTCTGGCCTTGGGGACAGTGTGCCAGGTCTGCTGAGAGAATTGGTTTTACATGACCGGGGCTTTTTTGGTGGTATGGCAGGAATGGAGGGCTTCTGTAAATCCAGTTTTGGCTCTGTCTCTGGTCTTTCTTTTTCTTCTGTTCTTTGGGAAGCATTTCTGGTCTTTCAGGAGGTACCTTTTTAAGTTCATGTTTTCTCTCAGTGGTACCTGTCCCTTGTTTGATGACAGGAGTGAATGGAGGTGGTGGTTTCTTGGGTCTATTCCCTTCCTTTTCAAAGTCCGGTGGAAATAACTTCACGACGTTAACAGGGAACACGCCTCCTCCGCCGTTCAGCTCTCCTTCCCACCAGCCTACCTCAGTGCAGTCCTTACTGATGAGAGTGACTATGTCTCCTTCTCTGGTTGTCATTTCATCACTATTCTGTGCCTCATATGGAAATACTACTTTGCAGTAATCCTTGCTCTTTGTCCTGCTGCCCATTTCTGTTTTCAAGGAGTCTGGAGTTGCCAGAGTCGTAGGTAACTTCTTCCCAATAGTCTTTTCCCCCGGCAGAAAGTCATTTTCTACTTGAGTTGATCTTGTCTTAGTTTGATTGGCTTGTTTTTGAAAATATCAACAAAGCCCACTCCTTTAACTTTTTGGGATTGGATTGCTGCAGTCACCACTGTCCCGTCAGCACCTTCAGACTTGGTGCTGCTTGAGTCACCTCCATCACTCTCCGAGCCTGTGGTTTCCCTTAAACTTGACTTGGACAGATGCTCATCCTGGGAAATGCCAAGCTTATCTGACTACCCTGACAACTCCTTGATGAAGTTGGAAGGAAACATTCCAGTCTTCCCATTGAGAACACAGGAGTTGGAACAAGGGTGCAGAAAAATAGGAATGTTTTTATGTTGTTGGTGGAAACATAAATTTGTTCCATGATTGTGAAAGACAGTGTGGCGATTCCTCAAATTTTAGAGCCAGAAATACCATTTGACCCAGCCATCCTATTACAGGGTATATACCCAATGGAATATAAATCATTCTTTTATAAAGATACGTGCATGTGTATGTTTATTACAGCACTATTCACAATAGTAAAGACATAGAATCAACTCAAATGCCCATCAATGATGAACTGGGTAAAGAAAAGGTAGTACATATACACCGTAGAATATTATGCAGCCATAAAAAGATATGGATGAAGCTGAAAGCCATTATCCTCAGCAAATTAACATAGGATAGAAAACCAAACACCATATATTCTTAAATATAATTGGGAGCTGAGCAATGAGAACACATGGAAAAGGGGAAAGGAACAACACACACTGGGGCCTGTTGAGGGTGGGCAGTGGTAGCGGGAGCATTAGGAAAAATAGCTAATGCATGCCGGGATTAATACCTAGATGATGGGTTGATAGGAGCAGCAAACCACCATGGCACACACTTACTTATGTAACAAACCTGCACCTGTACCCTGGAACTTAAAATTAATTAAATTAAAAGACAAGCTTAAAGCATTAATGAAAAACAATTAGATTAAAAAAAAGCCATTGAGTTACAAAATCTTGAAACAACAGTTTTAACTTTGCTTTTAACATATATGCAAATCATTTAATACTGCTGCCTTCCAGAGGTGCAGCTTAATTCTCTCTCTTGAGTGTGGCTTGGATTTAATGATGCACTTCTGATATGGCCTGGCTCTGTGTTCCCACGCAAATCACACCTTGAAGTGTCTTACGAATTGTAATCTGACATATTGAGGGTGGGACCACATCGGAGGTGATTGGATCACAGGGACGGTTCCCCTATGTTGTTCTAATGATAGTGAGTGAATTCTCATGAGATCTGATGGTTCTATAAGGGGATTTTCCCTGCTTCACTCTCCATTTCTCTCTCCTGACACCATGTGAAGAAGGATGTGTTTGCTTCTACTTCTGCCATGATTGTAAGTGTCCTAAGGCAGCCTCCTCAGCCATGCAGAACTGTGAGTCAATTAAACCTCCTTTTCTTATAAATTACCCAGGCTCAGGTATTTCTTTATAGCAGCGGGAGAATGAGCTAATACAACTCCTAACTGATAGAGTAATGATGACATATCCGTTTGTGACTCTGGGTGTAGAAGATAAAAGTCACTGCGGCTTCTACTTTCTCTCTCTCTGTCTCTGGAATCGTGAGCTCTGGGGGGAACCAGCGGCTGTCCCATAAGCAGCCCTGCAGGAAGGTCCATGTGGCTAAGAACTGAGGACTTCTGGAACCAGACAACAAGAAACTAGGCCTTTTTGAACAGCCATGTGACTGAGCCATGTTTCATCTTAATCCTCAGCCCCAATGAAACAGTCAAATGATGGAGCCCTTGTACTGGACTTCAACCTTGTGAGACGCCCTGACCCAGAAGCACTCAGCAAACCTCTCCTGGATTCCTTACCATTGGAAACTGCGGGAGATGATGAAAATTTGTTGTTTTGAGCTGCTAAGTTTTACATAAATTTTTCCGCAATAGTAAGTAACTAATAGATTTTCACAAGAGAGGATAGATTATTACACGTTAATTTACATATGCTCTAAATTTGCCATAATCAATCTTGTTATCTTTGAGACAGGGTCTCGCTCTGTCACCTGTGATGGAATGTAGTGGCATGATCACCATGCACTGTAGTGTCGATCTCCTGGGCTCAAGGGGTCCTCTGGCCTCAGCCTCCTGAGTAGCTGGGATGACAGGCATGAACCACCATGCCTGGCTAATTTTCTAATTTTTTGACAGAGATGGGGGTTTGACCATGTTTCCCAGGCTGATCTTGAATTTCTGGAGTCAATGGATCCACCTTCCTCTGCCTTCCACAGTGCTAGGATTGCAGGCAAGAGCCACCACACCTGGCCTAAATTAATTGTGAGATACTAAATATATAACTTAGTTGTAAAAGGTGAGGAGAATTTCCATGGCCGAAGAGGATGTATTTTGTTACTGTTCACAATGATCACTTTACTTGAACTTCAATTTCCAACTGTGTCTCAATTAAACACAAAAGGAAGATCCAAACCTTGCTAGGCTGATTCCATGATGGCCCACAACAACCACCTCCTGGTCATTCACCTTCCCCCAGTTATTCAACCAACTTGAATGTAGGTACTGCTGTGAAGGGATTCAGCAGATACAATTAAGGGCCTCAATTAGTTGCTTTTAGGCTGGGTTTATCCTGCTTGGACTGTCCTAATCAGCTGAGCACTTGAAAGGACTGGGTCCTTCCTGAGCATAGAGATTCACAGTGTGAGAGGGATTCAGTGTGAAGGGTTTCCTCCACTGTGGGCTTTGAAAATGAAGGAGTTGTGTAGGCAAGAACGCTGGTGGGCACCAGGAATTGACCACATTCCTCCCTGTTCTCTAGCTTGACAGCCAGCAAGGAACAGGAACCTCAGTCTTACAACCGCCAAAAACTGCATTCTGACTTCTCTGTATCAGCGTGAAGGAGGATTAAAAATGAAAACACAGCTTTGGGAAGCTCAAAACAGAGATTCCATCCACATCATCCTGGGATTTCTGACTAAGGAACTATAAACAGATAAATGGGTGTTGTTAGGCCAGGGGTGGTAGTGCACACCTGTAATTGTAACGTTTGAGGAGGTGACACAGGAGGACGACTTGTAACCAGGAGTTTGAGACCAGTAGGATAATATAGTGAGACAGTCATCTCTACAGTTTTTTTTTCTTTAATTAGTTGAGCATGGTGGTACTTATAGTCCTAGCTACTCTGAAGACTGAGGCAGGAGGATCCCTTGAGTTTGAGGCTGCAGTGAGCCATGATCATGTGACTGCACTTCACCCTGGATGACAGAGAGAGACTTTGTCTCTAAAAATAAATGAATGAATACAATAAATGGGTGTCGTCTAAAGCCAATATTTACAATAATAACA